CTCAACTGTTGAAATTAATACAATCTCCACAAAACCCCTTCTGATAATAAATAATAGTTGAAATCATGAGTTAATTGAAGCTAGATCACCATAGAAAACCTGGAAACACTGGACGGCAGTTTCGTCCTAGTATGGGACTCCTCAGCAGTGCGCATCTGTGATCCCGCCCCTAGAGAGATTCGAATCCAGGACCTATCAGTCTCGCGCGCGCCTCAACATTAGACCACTGAACCGGCAACCGACGGTGTTAATGTCTGACTTCAACAAATCCACGAAGTTGCCCCACCGTACACCATTGTCTTCGGTGAGCTGATATCTCAACAGACCTGGTTAAACTCTACTGATCACTGCTTCTCTCTAGAACTCCAGGAAATGCCTCTTGAAATCAGTTACTAGTGAGCAGATGATTATTATCAGAAGGGATTTTGTGGACATTATAGTAATTTCAATGGTTGAGATCATGAATCAATTGAAGCTAAACCACCATGAAAATCCTGGAAGCACTGGACAGCCGTTTCGTTCTAATTTGAGACTCCTCAGAAGTAGTATTTACACATACGAATGCCGACTCAGTGGTCTAGAGTTTAAGCATTCATCGTTGACTTAATCGTTTGTCAAATAAATTCATTCAGAGACTGATTGTCTATTTATATTCTATTTAAGCTTTTTTCGCTTTGTCTTTTCAGTCACTGGGAATAGTTAGGAACAAACTACACCTTTATGTCATGAAGTCCATGAAGACAAACAATCCTTGAAAGCTAGAAGACATAAGAATAGTTGTTTTGTCTCCTGGACTCTTCACTAATTGTACAGCTACAACTGAACAATCATTACAATCCACCTATACTACTGTTAATAATGATTCTACTACTAACTGATAATCAGTGTCGAGAGGAAATTATTAGACTTTTAATCAGATATTAAGTCTGATACATTGGTTATAGTTAGTTATATAATATACCCTTGTGAGCCAGGGTAATTTGACATTGGTTTTCAGGAGAACAAGACACCATCAAAAATTTCAAGTGACAACCCAAACAGTACAACTCAATCCGTTTAACAGGAGAGTCAGACACCACCCTGGATTAAGTTTTATAACTCAAACAGTACAGCTCAATCCCGCTTCGCAGGAGAACCAGATACCGTATAGGCTTTAATGCTACAATCTGAATAGTACAGCTCAATCATGTGGTGCAACCACACAGGTACCAAGCACCCTGATGGACCATTCTCACCATTCATATACACATTCACGTCATACTGATACATTGGACCAATAAGAAATGGGCAATTAGTACGCGTACATAATTGGACGGAAAACGGCTCATATTTTTAAAGGATAAGACGCCAGTCATTGTTAGGGCAATTTTCTAAAGGACAGATATATACATATATATGTGTATCAACGAGTACGCATAAATGTAATGCAGATTTGCCAAATGATAGGTATTATCAATTCTACAAGTGAATTCCAACTTACTTACTTTCCCATAGAAATCGGTTGTATTACAGACTACTGATTTATACTAATAGTCATATATTTTTATCAATGACTTTCACCATGTTTTATATTATGCTTATTAACATTGTCAAAGAATTGATTCTTACTATAATCACATTATAGAAGGATCCACATGAGTCAATGAATATTGACCAAAAAGTGATTAAAATGACCATGTGTACAAACTTAATGTGATTTCATTGTTTTTTTCTTCTTCTTACTTTATTGCATTAATAAATACAATTTATGTTACATAATAGTTGTGCAAAATAAGACTGATAATTAGTCCACCAGGGTGCCTGGTACTTGTGTTGTTGTGTTACAGGATTAAGTTGTGCTATTCAGATTGTAGCGTTAAAACCTATATGGTGCCTGGTTCTCCTGAGAACGGGATTGAGCTGTACTATTTGGGTTACAAATTTTAAGCCTGGGTAACGTCTGGCTCTCCTGAAAGTTGGATTGAGCTGTACTGATCAGGTTAAGCCTGGGCGGTGTCTGGCTCTTCTGTTAATTAGGACTGAGCTGTACTGTTTGAGTTGTCACATGAAAGTCTGGATGGTATCTGGTTCTCCTGAAAACCAATGTAAAATTACCCTAGCCTACAAGGGTATATTATATAATTGAACTGTGAATAAGATTGATTATAATAAACATGGTACGTTTAGGGAGAAAAAAATTGTATAATTAACTGTGGTATTTGTATGAGCTAATGATTCCTTCGTATTTGATGACTATCTGATTTCGAATTCTAAATACAATACGTTCGTTTGTGCTCATCTAGTTCTCTTTGATCTGAATTGCGTTATTTTGGGGATTCCTAGTTCGTATAGTAATCCAAATACTTCTAATCATCACATTGGCGTTGCGATGGAGCCTGTGATAGGACAGTTGGACATACATTCAAATTTTGATGCTTTTGAGGATTATATGGAAAGGTTCGAAATCTGGATTATCACTAGAGGAAGATATTGAGGATGTTAATATCGTGGCTCATTTATTACATTCATCGGAAAAGAAGCATACAGTATATTAAAAGCTCTGGCATTTCCGGGAAAGCCTATTTGCTTCTTTATGCAACTCTGAAGAAACTACTACTAGACCATGCAAACTATACAAATTTCGATGCTTTAAAGGTGGAAATTTTCATCAGGGCATTAAAAATTCCAGTACATTACTGCGTCATCCAAATTCAATGCGTATTCAAGGTTATGCAAATAATTCATTGAGGAGTTGCAAGGCAGGTCACGAAGATGATATCAGTGATTTCAATACACAACAAATATGGTGATTGTATACAATTCCAGGACGCAGGTGAGTCAGTTTCGATTTCAGTCGTTAATTCTAATACTGATGAGTATATTCTAGATTCTACAGAGTCTACCTCCGATACACAATCGGACAGACACATGATGAACCTAAGGAAAAGAGGTACGATTGATCGCAGAACTTTAGATTCTCATTCAAGCTGTGGTGAATGTGGTGTTTGTATGAACTAACTATTCCTTTGTACTTGATGACTGCCTGATTTTGAATTCTAAATACAATACGTTGGTTGGTGCTCACCTAGTTCTGTCTACTTAGATTGCGCTATTTCGGGAATTCCTAGTTTTGTACATTAATTCAAATACTTCTAATTCATGAACCAATACACATCTAGGATTATAATGCTTTGGGAAAACTCGCTAATAAGCAAGTAAATTGAAAGTCTTACTGTAACATTGAGTTAGATAGCATGAATATAATATGGGAACAAGCTAATAAGAATTTAGAAAATGATTATCGATTTATTGAGTAAAATTTAGAAATCAATTGTGACTACATCTCAGTCCTATAGGAGGTCGGTCGCGGCTCGGATAGCTCAGTGGTAACGTCTGTCACTGTGAAGCTGGGTGACACGAGATTGAATCCGTCAGGGAGCACCATTTCCTTCAAGATTACAGGTACACCTTGCTGACGAGTGCCAAGTAGCATGAAACCCGGGTTTCCTGTCGACTACCTACAACCTCCACCATCTAATCTCACAATAGTGCACGCAGTGCCGAGTCACCTATACTGGTGGCCACATTGCAACATAGTCGACAGCATTCGATCTACACTAATAAGGACTAGAAACACATGACATTGATCACCATCCAGTGATCAATCAATTGTGATCAACGACTTTTATGGTATATTCTATAAAAAGTATAGTTCCCTCAAGATTATCTTGGTAACAAGTGTTGAATAGAATGAAATCTAGGTCCAAAATATCCTGACGACTAACTTGAACCACCAACTTACAGAAGAAACGTCTTTGCATTGTGTTACGAATATTCTAAAGTTTATATGTATATTAAAGTAACACTTTATACAATGGAATGTAAAGGAAGTATGTGTATGTCACATTGTCTTTTTGTTTATCAAAAAATAATCAACTAGAACAGTTTGAAAAAAAGTCAAAAAAAAATATAGTTGAGATCATGAGTCACTTGAAGCTAGACCATGATGGAATACCTGAAAGCATTGAATAGCCATTTCGTCCTACTGTAGGACTCCACAGTAGTGCTCATCCATGATCCCGCCTCGCAAGATTTAAACTCAGGACCACAGTAGGACGAAATGGCCGTCCAGTGCTTCCAGGTTTTCTATGGTGGTGTTTTGCTTTAGTTGACTTATGATCTCAACTATTAAAACTACTATAATATTCACAAAACCCCTTTTGATATCATACATATATATACCACTATTACATCTTAAAAGAAAATTATCACAAAAGTACACACTGAACAATAAAAATTTCACACATTACTAAATAAAATTGCAGTGTGTACTACTGATTTTGACAGATATAAGTACTATGTATTACCAAACAAAATTGGAATGACTGAAGATAGAATGTTGACAAGATCAAAGAGAAGAGAATGACACCAGTGAGTGATGGGTATAGAAACGTAGAAACGACAATATCTGCGATGATTGATTAACATTTTTACCAATGAAGTATTGATTGTATAGTTCTCAGAGTTTACAATGATGCTCTGTTATGTTGTATTGAAATACAATTTGATTGTCCACCACCACCACACCCACCTCCCTCCACACTTGTCACTGAATTAACAATAAAGTAATATCTGAGGATAGTTCTTAAAATAGATTCCGTTATAAAAATACTTTTAAATTTATTCAATGTATTGAATAAAGAAAGGTGTTGGAAACAAACAAAAAATGAAAGATCCCAAGTTTAATTGAAAATATAAACCGGTAACACAGAAGGTTTCCTTTGGAATATGTCGTTGATGATAATGATGATGATGATGATGGTGGTGATGATGATGAGGATGATCTATGAGAATAAATTACATGATTGGTAATATCCAACATTCTATTTTGAATGGATTGATGTTGATGTGATAAGGAGCGCAAAATGAAAATGAATTCAAATGGATAGACTATTTTGAAGAAGAAGAAGAAGAAGAAGAAGAAAAATAAATAATTCAACTAATCAGTGGATCTTCCAAACCGAATAAAACTAACATTTGATTTAAAGTTTGAACATGAGCTTCGATTGACACTGCAAATTGTCCTGCTTCTCTAAGTACCTTAAATGAAAAGAAAATGAAAATAAAAGCATAAATATAGTAGCTATCTAGTTTAAGATAAGAACAAGTGTTCAATTTCAGTGGCCCCCAAATACCCTGGTACGGCCGAGGGTGGGAAGAGTCCACTCTCTCTCAAAAAATGCTCTCACATGGCCACGCGTACATAGCCTCTGCCAGGGAATTCCTACTCATTGCGAATGTCCGGCGCCTTAACCAGGGTGGTGGACATGGAGAATCCACCTAGAGGAGTTGGAAAACCCTCATTCCAAGCCAATGGTGCACATGTGCTACAGTATCCTGAAGGAACAAATGGCATATGAACCAATCGTTGGTCACTGGCTACCATGGGACTGTCTCTCCTTACGATGCTCCACTGCCTTGTGGATCAGACCTTCAGGCCGAAGGTTCTGGTTGTGGCCCCTTAAGAAAACCACTTGCTTCGGTTTGGGCACCCGGGCGGTATAACAGCCCTCACACATATCAAATGAGACTTGTGTGGCGCATATGTATTTGGTGTCTCCTTGTACCAATATCTATGTGTTAAAATAAAATAAATAAAATCAATTTCAGTGAGTTTAAAGATCATAGTTAAAAGATGATAGGAAGTATCTAAAGTAAAAACTAACGTTTTGCATTATGAAGGTCAATTAGGCAAAATCATTTCTACATGGTGGTTGGAAGTAACCAATAGGATAGCATTCGATCTGCACTAAGAAGGAATTGACACATATAACATTGATCAATCACCCAGTGATCAATCAATTGTGAAAAGAGTTTCTACTTTAGATTTTGATTCATGCTAATATATGGTTGAAAAAACTTAATTTGACAATCTATTCTGTTGCTAGGTCAGTCATTATGAGGTATTCGATTGATTGCTTAAAAATGCAGGTTTTTTATAGTCACAGGTCAGACTTTGACCATCTAATACTGAATAGATCAGTGAGATAAGAAGACTCTGAGGGATAACAATCATAATTATTATCGGTTCTTATATCATCAGTGTAAATCCATTTCGGTTACTCTATTAAAATTTGATTGAATCCATTAGAAACAGAATCAATCATTAAGAATATCTTAAGTAAAGCTGAGGGTTAGATGTTGTTAAGTTCGCTACGTAGAATACAGTATACAACTACGGCACTCGAACGTATAGAACCCTAATAGTCGTAAATCAAAAGACAGAAGGAAACTGGACAAGTGCTTGCTGGGTAAGAACCGAAATGTGCAGAAAATCATGGGTATTTATAGATATTAGCATTTGTTATAACAACATGTTATGCTACTGTCTAATAGTAGCATGCTACGTTGATATTTTAGAAAACTCCATCATGTTCTGATTAAATAGAAACTCTTCAGTTTATTTAGGGCCCCTGGAGGCTCTGTTGTAGTTCTCGGAAATCGCCCCAACACGTGTGAAATAATCAACTAATTCATAACGCCGTAAACCTCTACTGTTTAGCATTTGGACCATATATTATGGATTATTAACTACCATCCATTCCGAAAGAAGGACATAATTGGCTAAATGAAGACATGGTTATGGACTTTCACAGTTTTCCATGTCACTAAATTAGGATTTCATGAATGATATATATGAGATGATTCTAGTTTACCGTTTAAGACCTTGACCAATATAACTTGAAATTGATTGCGATCATGTCGTTGTATTTCATTTTCTTGTAAAGTTTGACTTATATGTTGTAGTCATCCAGAAAATTCCTCAAAGAAACGCCGAAAGAGGATCTAAAATCTCTGGGGAACATCTTATCCAATCAGAATTCAATAGAAGTTTTGCCAGAAACATATGGAAAGTGGAGAGTCACATCTCGCGTTTCTCATTGGATGATTATCTGTACTGTTACAATGTTAAGTAGCGTTCCAGAGATTTTCAGAAACTCAAGGCCATCTAAAATACTATGAATACCCTAGATTTTCCGTACATAAACGAACATTCGGAGTAAAACGTTTCTTTCATATTTCACTCCTTTTATCTCGTGTTCAAGTACCTGTATAGATTTAGCCATAAAGGCGGGGGGGGGTAGATTACTAGAATAGCTTAGGAATCGAATCTAGCGTTCAATTAGCAAGACTTATCACTAAAAACTTGACTTCCACCTTACTTTCCACTTCTGAACGATTTTTCTTGTGTATAGGTTTCTATCACAAAAGTACTTTTTAAGTGTCTTTTCTTCTCAATGTTCTATGAGATATAGTAATTTAAACGAATGAATATTCATTTGAAATTCAAAACTACTGTTTACTAAATAACTTTCACAGAAGTTGACAAAGGGTCAAATGAAAAAAGATACATAGAACAGAATCACCTAAAAATGGGATTTGAACTGATGTCTAAAGATGCTAGGTAAATCAACTGATGAGGTTAAAGCTAAGTATTAATTTCAACATGGATTATTACTGAGTGTAAAATTAAAACAGTAGATTTAGAGTATTTTCAAATCAACATATTTGGTTGAAGAAGTAGAAGTATCTGTTAAAACTTATATAACTGTTCTGTACGTAGGTACAACAATAGTCAGTCATCTTAATAGTTGAGATCATGAGTCTCACTAGTGACTGGCTTCAAGAGGTATTTCCTGAAGTTCTAGTGAGAAGCAGTGAACAGTGTAGTTCAACTAGGTCTGTTGTGAGATAGTAACTCACCGAAGACAATGGTGGTGTAGTGAACAGAACACGGGTGGGGACAATCATAAAGTAAATGCTAAGTTCGCAAAATGTCCATCGATTGTCTCATAATGACTCATACAAATTACATTTTGTTTTCATCATTAACTGTTCGATCCTCTTGTCTCTCTTCTGTCAAACCTTCTGTTCACGACTAACATCATCTACTACTTATGTCAATATAAGTAGCACACACCAAAGTAGATATGTCGCTTAATTTCGTTCGAGTCTCGCAAGGTGGAATCATGGGTGCACACTGCCGAGGAGTCCTACAGTAGGATGAAATACCGTCCAGTGTTTCTAGGTTTTTGCATGGTGCTCTAGCTTCAATTGGCTCATAATCTCAACTACTAAGATCACTATAATATACACAAAACCCTTTCAGTCAGTTATAAACAAGTCTAACCTGAAACAAATGTGTATCTGGTTACAGTAAATGGGAAACGAGAAATGGAAAAAGAAGACATGAATGATAATAGTAATAAATATAATAAAGTAGAATCAATGTATCTAAGTTTTAGTGACCGATTTCGAACCATATTAAATGAAGTTCCCAAACATTAATTGTGATCAATATACTTACAGATACTTCAACCATGATGTCTATACTTAATGGTAAGTTATAAACTAACAGTTTATGATATAGTGAAATGATAGTATGTTTTCGTTAGAACAACTCTTCTATCTTCTATCAAGCTTGGTGAAGAATTAATGCTGATAATGGTGTTCAGAAGAACAATGACAGTTCCATGACCAAAACATCCAGCTCAGAGAGTAAAACACCTAAACCATGTTAATTTATATCGCAGTACTATCTATTATCAACGAGCTGTTGCTGACCTCTTGTAGGACTGAAATCTTTACGATTGAATAATGAGTGATAACCAATGTCAGGTTATGCTTCTTGATAAGTGTCACCAACGAGCATGAAATCTAGTTTCAAAAGCATCCCCTCAATCGTCTCCAATAACTTAACATGTGACATAATACACTATGGTGTTAGGTCACTTGGCCTAGTAGTCACATGTTGTTACTTCATTGATATAATTTGATCACTATTATGAACACTGCTAGGCACTATTCATCTTTGCTTAAAAAGCTTGTGACTTAAGGTTATATCGAGGTAATCAATGGGAAGATTCAAGTAAACAATATCAAGTGAATTTAAAATTTATCCCATTGCACAACCAAGTGGTTAACAGGACTCAGTAGCTAAATGGATAACGTGGTAACGTTTGAAGTAAACGATAATCGGTTCGAGTCCTGAAGTGAACAAGATCTATGAGATGTATAGTACATCCAGCTGACGAGTCCCAAATAGGATGAAACGTGCATCATTGGATTTAACTACTAACCACTATCTATCTTTACTTATCAATAACATAAGTTATGTAATCGATCATAGAAAACATATTCAAATCAACAAGTTTACAGTGGTATTTAAGGACATGGGATTATAACACAGTTAAGTGAAAAAATCGATTTCCAACTCATATAACCTTAATCTATCTAATCTTCTTTTATACATACAGTTTAAGCTTTATTTCATAGATTGATAAAAGCATCTATATTTTATTCATATAAATCCACATACATACACTATTTTAGTATTGTTATTATTAATACTATGCAATCTAGTATTGTAATGTCTCTATTACATCACCATATGGAATTAATAACGAATTCTGATATGTCCTGGGTTCGAATCCCGCGAGGCGGGGTCGTAGATACGCACTGCTGAAGAGTCCCACAGTAGGACGAGACGGCCGTTCAGTGATTCCAGATTTTCCATGGTGGTCTAGCTTCAATTGACTTATGATCTCAACTGTTGAAATGAATTCTTTGTAAAGAGATTTCTGTAATGTATTTGATGTTTTAAATTATTAACTATTTCCATATTTGTATCGTTTACATAATTTTAATTACTTACGCCTGTTACCCTATGTAGAGGAGGGTAGGTCACCTATCAGAATTCTTTATCGAACTCTGTCTTGAACAATCCTATCTAGTTTACTCATTGTATACCTGTTATTCATTATTGTACAAATTAAGATTTCTTATTTATGGTGAACATAGTTTTATATAGGTTATAGTTATAAGATACTCTTGTGGGTCAGGGTAATTCTACATTAGTTTTCAGGAAAATCAGACACCATCCAGACTTTCATGTGACAACCAAACAGTACAGCTCAATCCTGATTCACAGGAGAACCAGATACCGTATAGGCTTTAACGCTACAATCTGAATAGTACAGCTCAATTGTGTGGTGCAACTACACAGGTACCAAGCACCCTGATGGACCATTCGTTCGCACCATTCATGTACACATTCACGTCACATGTATAGTTATTCCGATCAATGATCGCGTGAATCAATTATGCACAGCACGAACAGGCCAAAGTTGACCTATTCCGCTTACATGATAGTCAAACTCATTAATGTTAGCAATATCGACATGCCTTACAATGTCCTAATTACAATGGTCCTTAAGAACACTGGAAAGCAACCACCAATATGAATGGAATCGATTAGCCAGCAAACTAATTTTATGCATGAACAGTCAGCAAAACTTACCAAGGTAATGCCGAACCATCCACAATACCAATGGCGAACATCCAGCCTCATATGAGACCTTCCACATAGCCATATAGCTCATACTGCATACAACACATATGTAGGGTAGTAAAAGAAATAGCCCAGCCTGAAGCGTTAGGGCTTAAATAACGCTTAAAACCGATTGTCTGGTGTAGGAATACTATTACTAGACCACCAAGATTATTTTTATCGCATTTGCGAAATTTTCATTCTTTCAACTTTTCAGACCCTGAGCTAGGGGTAGTACCCTTTATGTAGGTCACAGGAGTTTATATAAGACAGAATAATACAAGGTAACTCTTGGTTGCCTTAATTTTTTAAGACCCTCATTGATAGTTTGTGAACGAGAAAATTTTCTATACACTATGGGAGAGAACAAACCAAATCCCAACGGAGGAACGAATCAGAAGAAAGCGCTGGAAGTAATAGAACATATATTGAGGAAAGCACCAAACTGTATCACAAGGCATGCTTTCACTCGAAATCCTCAAGGTCAAAGGAAAAGAGGAAGATCAAAGAACAGATTACGCCGGGAATTGGAGACAGACATAAGAAGAATGAATAACAATTGGATAGAACTAGGAAAGAACGCCCAGGACAGAGTGGGTTGGAGAATACTGGTTGGCGGCCTATGTTCCATTGAGAGTAACAGGCTTAAGTAAGTAACTAAGTAATGAGATATACAGAAGTTGAGTTTATGGAATTATTGATTTCAATGTAATCTAAATGATAACAATGTATGTTCACTTTAGTAAATAAAGAATTAACTTACCAACAATTCACAATTATCCTGTTCCAATCCTAATTTTCTAATAAATACCGATCGTTTAGGGACAATGAGTAAAACAAACTAGAAAAATTAATTTGATATCAAAAAGAAAAGGGAAAAATGAAGAAAATACTGTAATTAGTAATTGTGTATTTAATACTAACTCCCCCTGTAGCTCTTCAAGAGTTACTGCCGGTCCCAAGCCCGGGTAAAGGAGGAGGGTTGGGCAGGGGGTTAGAGACCCTATGCCATAGAAAAATAACTCGCTAAAAAAACGCTAAACGCTAACGCACTTAATACTAGACTTCATAGAAATTCTAGTGTAGAAAATGTGATCAGTCAAATCGGTCATGTTAGAAATGAGATAGTAACTAACCAGTTATGATGAATTTGAATTGTATTACATCATATATTGATGAGAGCTGAAAATTGTAAGTCATTAAGTTTTGACTGGCTAAACCTATCAATCACATCCATGACCTTAAGATCCTGAATTCAACATCATAAGGAATAGTAATTAACTACTATGGAAGGATTTCGAGCTATAACGGAACATCTTACCTAGTACCTTCTGGTCTTTAGTGATTTATTCATTGATATCAGTACACTTGTGGATTTCAAACATGAAGTCTTTACCTCACTCCTACAATTAATGATTCTGTAGTGAACGAAGTTATGAGCTTCATTGTATGCACACGAGTGTAGGTGGTTTTAAGAGAGGATTAATGTTCACCTCTCCCTTCTTATTTTTCTCTCTGACCATTCAGGGAAGCCCGTTGCGTAATCTATGTACATACCTATACACATAAATTATTGAACTGAAACCCATGGACAAAACGGCCTTTTGCGATGTTAGTACCTGGAGGTTAAACCATCAAGTCATCCAAGATACAGTAGATTAGTGGATTACTCCGATCTCTGTTGATCCTCCGAGCTAGTTAGTGAGATTATCTTCATTACTCGGTATGGCCACGAAGAGACCCTCAGGTCGACTCTTGATACGTCGTTATTTTTTTTATGATTGACTGTTCATTTTAGATGTTTACAACTGATTAATTGTTTTCAGTTGTTTTTTTGTTATCTAAGGATTAATAGTTGAAATCATGAGTCAATTGAAGCTAGACCACCATGGAAAACCTGGAAGTACTGGACGGCCGTTTCGTCCTAGTATGAGACTCCTCAGCAGTGCACATCCGCGATCTCGCCCCCCGCGAGATTCGAATCTAAGACCCATCAGTCTCGCGCGCGGGCACTTAACCATTAGACCACTGAGCTGGTTTGATTTCGATTTACAGTACAAACACCATGAGGTTATTGCTTTGGAAATAAACATACATACAGACACACACACACACACACAACAAACTACAAATTATACTCACACGAAATGCATGACGCATTAATTTGTTATGATATCTTGTCAATGTTTTATCATAAGCTCTTATAATCATATCACGTATTAATTCATTATTCTTAGATTGAGCAAAATAATGCAGGAAACAAATAAGAAATTGAAATGTACGCTTTAACCATAATAAACCAATTGATCCGGAAGAATCATCACGATTTATTTCATTAGCTAATAAGTCATATAATGTATTCACATGTAGATTGGTAGATGCACGTGATACCTTCTATACAATAGAATATATATAGAGAAAAAATAAACATGAAAACGGGATATGTGAATAGTAGTTTGAAAGATAAAACTATTGGTTACTGAAGAGAGTCAGTGGTGTTTGAAGGTAGTCGACAGGAAACCCTGTACCCGGGTTTTGTGCTACTTAGCACTCATCAGCAAGGTGTACCTGTAATCTTGAGAGAACTGGTGCTCCCTGGCGGATTCGATCTTGTGTCACCCAGCTTCACAGTGAGAGACGTTACCACTGAGCTATTTAATCACAATTTATAGTGCCCGCAATGTCGAGTCACCTAGACTGGTGGCCACATTGTAACATGGTCGATAGCATTCGATCTGCACTAAATAAGGACTTGACACACATGACATTGATCACCATCCAGTGATCAATCAATTGTGAAGAGAGTCAAATATTCATCATCTTGTTTTGGGACTCTTCTACAATGTACACCCAGTATCTTAGATGAAAATGAAATTTTGATATTATAGTAATGTATCGGGTAAACTATCAAATTGCACAAAAGAGTAAAATCCCAAAACAGTCTGTAAATGCATATTACAGCTAGATTATCATTCATTACCTAACTCTTGATATTGTTGACTTTCGAGACCTGCTAACTTCTACATATAAAACTTTACAAAATCCACGATACGGTCTCAGTACAATGCTCAAAAATATTATGTGTTTGGAACCTTGTAAAATGATGGTTGCATAATGTTGAAGAATACAAAATGAGGACAATGGAATGAATAGGGATCATGCTAATAAAGGGTGACCATCAATAGGGTATATTTTAATAAAGGGGATCAGTGGAAAAAGGGAATAACATTCTGAACGATATGAAATATCACCACAAATACTTAATCGTAACCACGTCTGTAACTTATACATTTTCGGTTACTTGAAATTGTCTAACTGTTGGATGATCTAGAAAACTCCTCGCCAAAGAAAAGAAAGTTTCAGAAAACACTAAAATGCATCCCATCCAATCAGCGTTCACTTGAAGTTTAGCCAGAAACATAAAGAAAGTGAGAAGTCACATGTAGAGTTTCTGATTGTTTGATCATTATACTGCTACTATGTTTAGTAGCATTCCAGAATCCTCGAACAACCCAATAACATTTAAAAGGTTATAAAAACTCTATATTTTCTGCATTAAAATGAACCTTTGGAGCAAAGTGCTTCTCGCATATTTTGCGCCTTTTCTCTCGTGTTCAGGTCGCTGTGTAGTTCTAGCTTGGGAGTTACGAGAATAGCTTAGAAACCGAACATAGCGTTCAATTAGCAAGACTTATTACTAACAAATACTTCGTTTGTGTGTGGGCTATGATACTGCCTGGGTTCCCAGACCGAAGCAGGTGATTTTCTTAAGAGGCCACACCCGAAACCTTTAACCTAAAGGTCTGAATCACAAGGTAGTGGAGCAATATCAGGATTTGCAGTCCCATGGTAGCCGGTGACCAATAATTGGTTCATATGCCATTTGTTCCCTCAGGATCCTGGAGCCTATGTGCACCTTGGTTTGGAATCAGGGTTTTTCGACTCCCTAGGTGGATTCACCATATTCACAAATCTGGTTAAAGCGCCGGACATTTGCTTTTCGTCCTCTCAACTTCGTATACGCGTGGCTATGTGAGAGCATTTGGAGAGGGAGAGTGGACTCTCCCCACTCTCAGCCATACCAGGGCATTTGAAGGCAATTACGAAAACATTTGAAAAAACACTTTAAACATTATTACAGTTTACTCTTTTCTTATTAACTGTTCACTACTAAGTTTGTCAAGATTTTGAATATTGTATGTTAAATAAACCTATCAACTTGCATTTAACTGTGACACGTGGATAACAAAAGATCTATTATATTCGTATTTGATAGTGTAAACAACATTAGATTTAGTAGTTGAATTCATGATTCAATTGAAGATAGATCACCATGGAGAACCTGGAAGCACTGAACGGCCGTTTCGTCCTAGTACGGAACTCCTCAGCAGCCCGCCAGGCAGGACTCGAACCCAGGACAAATCGGTCTCGCGCGCGGACGCTTAAACTCTATTGTGTTAGATTTGTTTATAGTACTGAAGGCTGACAATTACATATCTTGAATTTATTGAAACTGGACATCAAAGCCTTTGGGTGCCGACTAGTGATCCAGTTTAAGGATTTACACACGAGACTGAAGGTGTTGTGTTTGGCTGCCGGATAAGAGTCCTTGGATGAGCACTTTGTAGGAATCACATTCTAGGATGAGACGATCCTTTATTAACTCCAAAGTTTCATTAGTGTAACTGAGATCAGACCGTGATTTAAACTATAAAACTTACATAACAGTTCAAAAAGCATGTACAACCCAAAGATTATTTCACGTAATCTACCCAATACAAATAGGAAACTGAGCTACCAAGATTGTTAGCTACGAACATAAATAAAAAGTTAACCAATGGTATTTACCCAAACGCTAACCATCTTGATTCAATCTAACTTTCATTACTTACCTTTAATAAGCTATTAATTAGTAAGATTTGTAATTTGTTTATAGTTGCATGACCTTTTAGCGGCCCGTTGATCTGACTCCAAGATCGTAAGGTTGTTTGTTATCGCCTATTCTCGTATATGATCGTCGACTTAATCGCGTTGGTCAATAACGGAATTAAATAAGTCGAATAACGAGAATTGACTTGTGAATACATATATTTTGTATATGAAGCGAACGAAACAGAGCAGAGCAAATGACACGCAGGGAAGATGGCTGAGAAGCCAACTTCTTTTTAGTCAAGCGTTACTCAATATTTATAGTCAGACAAAAAAAGCTACAGACATGTGATTAATGGGATAAGAAGGGCACACACATATACGCTCATATAAAAACAGTCTAGATTGATAAGCGAATAAATAACAAGGTCAAAGTATGGCTCAAGTAGAATGAATAGAATGGGATCTCCGAAAGCTAGAATAAGGTAGATGGGCTTAATATAATAACTGACACTACAGCCTATTGAACAAACAAGTGGCTATGTTTCTGCGTATTCAGCTGTAACATCTTGCAAGATTCCAGCTTTTAAATTCGTCATCAAGCTAACTCAGTTCCCCTAACAATAATAATATTAACAAGTCTCTAGCGATTTATTTTTGCTTGTGTACTAAGTGGTGAAATGACAAGGTAGCTGAATAGTCTAACTACTGGAGACATCCAGAAACATTGTAAATATTGTAAATAGAAACGAGACAAGTGTATTATCACATTTAGGGAGTACTTTGACAAGAAACAAAACTTACATACTCTAAATTTGTAGACTAAAGTATTGCTGATCTAAGTTTTCCTATGTATTCAATAGACAACATATGATAAACTCCAACAATACGCAACATAATAAGTATTACTAGAATAAGAATTCTTACAAGAGTATTCATTAGTTATAATCTACACATTCATGTATTTCGCTCTGATATATGAATTTAAAAATTACTTAAAGCCTTTTTCTATTGTTTCGTTTTGCTAGAGCGAGTGATAGCTTGATCAGTTGGAGTGTGAATCGTTTATAACATTTGTCTACATCTTGAGGAGGATTATAGATGTCTAACTGTATAATATGGTAATGTGTGTTCACACAGCACGTTTTAGGATCTTTATTGTTAAACATGACTCGGTTCAATTCAGACAAATCTGACTGTTAATATCACTATGGAATACTCATATAAAAACTATTGTGTCCATAGATTCTTTTGATTTATTTCGAAAGCCAAGTAAATCCTTGTCACCAGTATTTGATTATGCATTTTGTACTTTTTATCTTGTGTTCGAGTTGCTGTGTCAGAATTAAGGCTGTAACCGGCTAGGAAAACCATTTAGGCGTATCAGTAGTAAGACTTATCAATTTTTAACACGAGACACTGTATTTATTTTCTCCACAAACAAGGAAGTGTTGAACAGATTTTGTATTATAATTTATATCTTTTCCGCAACTCCTCTTCCTTGTAATAATACAGGAGATCCAGCCCATAAACTTCAAGTATCACGATGAGCATAAGATGCCTTTGTGCTTTTATTGATATTGTTTGCTCAGAATTGCATTGTTGTTACGGCCATAATCATCATTAACATTCATCTATGCAGAAGCGAGCTCTTTAACTATTCTATATGGACCAAGTTAATTCATTCTGATGGCCGCGTTATTGACTGGTTGCTTTTCTATTTGTCTTTGGATTCATGTTGACTATTTAGTTTACCTGACCTTTGATCACGTGACTGACTGAATTATTCTGTGCTAGTAGATTGATTGAATCTATTTCGATTGCTTTTTACTGAGTGCTAATTGATCTGAATGTCATGCTTCAAACATCGCTTTGGCATTTCCATAATCGTCTTAATCCAAAATTTCAACGTTTTTTTTCAATCAAAATCATATTTATATGCATTAATAACAGTGATATCATATTATATTGTCACACTGCTATTGAATGTGAATGTAAAAGAAGTGCATACTTTGTCCGGCGCAATATTTCTAGCAGCTGATGCAACTTATTTTCGAAATGACTCTGTGTGTAACTACATTAGCAGTAGTATTTTTCAACCCATAAAATGGGATGAATTGATTGTGTCAGTTTGTGATTGATATTAATTCTAATAGGTCGTTTAGTCATAGATACATGAAAGAAAAATATTCTTTTCAGTAGTTCTTAGTCAGGTTATACAGATATATATCTAAATCAATAATCCAAAAGAATGGCCAAGTTCAAGGCAGATACATAATGTGAATTTAAGGCTGCTTGTAAAACAATATAAATTTGTCAATGTTGAAATGACTGATATACAGTGTTAACTTAAATAAGTTTATTTGTTGAATGGAATTAAGATTAATAATAAAAGTAAATAATCTAACTATAGATCTTTGTAGTATTAAGTGGTGTGCAGCCACCCAACGCTATCAGTTGAATTCCAGAAGTTTGGACTATAGTTAAGAGAGTAAAGTGAGACACCGAGCAGTGACTTAAATCGTTTTTAGTGCAAACGATATAAGAAATTGATTTTTCCCAACCGTCTGTGGCATATAATTACATCGTCAGAAGATGTAATTGTATAACTTAGTCAGTTACTTATAGATGCTTAGTGGTACGATATAGTAACTATGTGTTCACATAGTTAATTATTGAATAATTGATGTTAAAGGTTACTCAGTTCAAACTAATAAAATTTGACTACTGATCTGGCTGTAAGTAAATCAAATAAAAGGTCATATATTAATGCATCATTTGGATTTATTTCCCGGTCAAATAAATCCATATCAGTATTCTTCGTAAGTTAACTACGTGTCTTCAGATTTGGAGTCTTTAGTATCAAACAAACGTCAGTTAACCATGTTACAGACACAACAGCAATATGAATTGTTGCTTCGTATGAATAAAAACTTTAATCTATCATGAAATAAAAACAATGTATGCAATGAAATTAATGATTTTTCGAAACTTACTTTAATATTCCCTTCCACATCATTTCGTAATAATGCAAATTTTGAATCCCATAAACCTGATCGACAAAAATATTGATTTACAATCAACAACACAAAGTATAACGTGAGTACTTACCGAAAAATCACAAATCATCTTGGATAATTGTAGAAATGTTTGTATATCAAGATTTTTTTCATCTTTAAATATTGGGATATTAGAAAAGAATGTAATCATTGTAATCCGTTTTTGTTTATTGTGTACAAACAAGAAACTATGAGTTAACGTTGCAATCAGTTAGATAATCAAGCAAACAAAACCCTGGAAGAAACACAACCAAAACAACAATAAGAATTGAAAACTCAATAATAGTATGTCATTTAATAAGTACATGGTTTGAAATATACTATTTGAGTGTAAAGCATAGTAATAATTTTATCCATCAGTATAGACAGAAGTTGGTTAGGCGAAGTTTTCAAGATTCGAAATACTGGATGAAATTTGAGTAATTTAACCACTAGATCACTTCTTCAGTGCATTTAACATTCATAAAAATATATACAATATCAACAAATAAGGTTGATCAATTACATGAGATGTTAACAGTTGATTTAATGTACAAAAACGTCTAAAATAAACAATACTCATCAGTTTGGCCATTTTTTTACTTTTATGAACAGTCGCCAAGAATACAGTCAAATTTCAGTTTTTTAAGTTCATTGCAGTTGATCATTGGGTTTTTCAGACGTTCAAACAGTATCATACAGTTTACAAGTATTATCATTATCCTATAAAAACTAGTTTTTTTCAAAATTAGTACGAAATCTAAAACTTGACAATCACTATAACAAATTTATATAAAAAACTATCGAGATCCACCATGTCCATTATATAAATATTTAGAAACCAAAACTCGTTACCACAAATGTATTTTTCTGTACTGGGAAAAATCTCGTATAATTTGCACCGCTGAAATGTGTATGCATAACTGAGCATCAGACAAAATCTAGTTTCAGACAAACTATGATGAAAAATCACTATCTATAAGTTCTAACTATGAACTTCTAACTATCTTAGACTGGGACATTGCTCATCGCTTATGTGCTGTTTTAATGATGAGAATTTGGAATGACAAATATAAAACCAACAGATGTTGTTGCAAATTTCCAAATGATGTTAAACATGATATATCGTAAATATTTTGAAGAAATGGAATTGCTAAGTTAGTATCTGTAGTCCGTGATCCATCTGTTCTTTCAGACATCAAGGACATATTTTGGCATGACAAAGCAGAAACTGTAGTGACTGTAAAATTAAATTTTGCCTCTTTAATCAAGATATTACTTTTTTGATCGGAAACGATGTATTACCAGAAAATATAATAGCCTATAGCCAACCTCAGAACACTCATTATCGCTAAAGAAGCCAGTGTGAAACTCTTACCATGAACATCATTCCAGCAACTTCATCATACCATGCACACTTAGTATGCTGTAGTGTAGCAAAAAGTTAATAATAATGGGTAACCGCCATACAGCCAGCTACGTGTCACTGAATTCCACTGCTTCAACCTCCACAGACAATGGCTTATTGCACTATGACAAATGCGCCACCTGTGATGGTCCGTGACTAGACAGAAGGTAATTAGTATACTAGGGGAGCATGTGGAGTAGCTTGGGTGAAGAATACTGAGAAAAAGAGGAGCACTAGAAGAAGTGAGTCAACAACTCAGTAAGCGTATACGATGCACTTGACTTTATTAAGGAAACAAATAAACGAAAATCAGAATAATACAAGCCTCGGATTATGAGTTTTCGAATCGGAAGATGCATATAGTTTGAGGCACTAAGACTGTAAGTTTCAAAAAGTTCTCGTCTCTAAAAGTCCAGATTACATATGACATTCGTACGTTAAAGTATATTTGTCACACTGGCGTAAGCTGACCCCGAATACGCATATCTACGTACCACTAGTACGAAAATTATAAATGTGGTTGACTGTAAGAATGATATGCCAAACAAACTTGAATAAATGCATTGATTACGGAAAATGTTTTGAGAATAATAAAAACAAACCTTGAGAGCAGCGGTCAAACTAACATGACCTTGCAAACATTACAATATCCATGCTGCAAGATAAAACAACTCTCAACGGGGATTTCTTACATTTTTTGTAGTCACAAAAGGACCGTCGCTATAATCTTAATAGTGACTTTAATGAAAAGCTGATTGTGAACTTTACACAATCGTCGACTGAAAAACTGGTCTAGAAACTGGAAGTTTCCAAATTAGCTCGAAGTTTCTCGGTTCGACGTTCGATAGGATCGTGGGTACATCATTCTGAGTATTCCTATACATAAACGAAACAATCATTCAGTGCTTCCTTGCTTTCACTGGTGGTCTAGCTAGTACTGCTACATGGGGTAAATTGAGTAAATTCGGTTTTGATGGAGTGAGGTACTTGCTCAATGAAAAGACATAGGAGTCATCGAACTGCTATCAGCGACAATGCAAGTATCATTGGGATATCTTTATCTCCATTGAAGGGCAAAATATCGTTTCGAGACTGTAGGAACTCATTGCTCAACTTGAGTACAAGTACTGAAAGAACTGACTAAGTTTGCTATCAACATATCTTATGTATCTCATCGTACTTGATATGTTTATATTTTCTCAAACCTCTGCAATAATTCACAAGTATTGAAGTATTGTTAACTAGCGAACTTACTCACTTAAGCTTATTACCCCTCATGGAGGAGCGCAGACCATTCACCATCCTTCACCAACTCCATCCTGGACAATCCTTCCCAGTTCTTTCCAGTTGCTATTTATTCCTTTCATGTCTGATACCAGTCCCCAACACAATGTGTCCTTTTGTCTTCCTCGTTTTCGTTTCCCTTCAAGGTTACAAATTATTGCTTGCCTTGTCGTGTAGTGCGATGATTTCTGATATGTATGGCCTATTCACTTTTAATGTCTTTTCTTAATTTCCTCTTCAGCTCGAAGCTGGATTATTCTCTCCTACGGCATGCTGTTGCCGTCCATTTTATGCAGTAATTCTCTTCAGATATCGACGTCTTCGTAATCCAGTAGACCACCGGAAAAAAGAGGAACGGGGAGAGTAAATTTCCTTATCTGCCTCCGGCCCTCACTTGGAATGCATTTGTCAGCTGAGCTCCATGCACCACTTTGTAGTGTAGTCCGTCATATGAATCGCAGATGGTGTTGACGTCTTTTTGAGGTACACCATAGTGCCGAAGAATTTTCCATAGGATCCTACTATCCACACTGTCAAACGTCTTTTCATAGTTAAAGAGTTTGATCTATGGTGACGAGTCCATTCAAGTGATTGCTCAACGATGATCTTTAGTGTCGCAATTTGGTCTGTGCACGACCGATCCTTACGGAATCCAGCATGTTGATCTTAAAGTTGAGCGTCCACTGAAACTATCATCTGAATCAGAAAACCTCTTTTAGAAACTTTTCCTGGTACTGATAGAAGTGTGATGCCTTCATAGCTAAGTTCTCACACTTGCTCAGATTTCCCTTCTTTGGTATCTTGATGAGGTGTCCTTCTTTCCAGTTCATCGGCACTTGTCCTTCCTCCCAAATCTTCCTGAATAGAATGTGAAGCATCTTAGTTATCTCTGTATCTGACTTTAGTCTTTCAGCTGGCATATTATCGTGTCTTGCTGCTTTCTCACTTTTGATTTATCTAATGGCTACTCTAGTCTCTTCGATCGTTGGTGGAATGACAGGTATAGGATGGTCTGCAGGTGGTACTTTGATGTTTGATGGATTCAATAGAGCTGGCCTATTCGAGAGTTCCTCGAAGTGTTCCGCCAACCTGGTCCTCTGTTTCCGAATCTCAGTGGTTAACTGGCTCTCCTTATCCTTGATCTGTCTTTCTGGTTTACTATTTTTCTCTGACAGTTTCTTTGCTTTGTCATCTAGTTGTCTCAATTTCTTTTCTCTTGCGGCTTATTCTGCTGTCCTTGCCGGGTTTTTCGGGCATTTCTAGTTGTCAGCTTTGATGCCTCTCGTAAAGCTGATCTTTGTCGTCGTCGTTGCTGTCATTAGGGGTTGCAAAACATTGGATAACATTCATCGTGATTATCTCCTCCTTTGTTTTGAAAGATGCTTTGATCATCCTAAATCCGCGAGATTCTCATCCTCTAAGTGCGTTATGTGCTTCTTTGGACAGCATCGGAGCAACTCCATGAGTGTGCGAAGTATTTTCTTCTTCATGATCAAAGTACAACAGCATCTCTCCTATACCTAACCTTTTCTGTACAGCTTGAGTCCACTGGGTTTCCCTTATTCCGGGGACCGCCAAGTTGTATTTCCTCATTTCCGCAGCTATGTGATTAATCCTCCAGGTCTCTCAAATTTTCTGGACATCCCGCTTACCTATCTTAGTTGTTGTCCTGGTTGTTAGCAGAGGCATGAGCCTCGTGACTTTCAAAAGGTCTCGGCTAACACCATGAGGCGTCATAATTCCTCCAAGTTGCAAGGCAGAGTTTAAGTGGTTTAATTTGTTTATTCTGGTTAGCGTATTTCTAGCAAAGTTGAGTTCCACGGGGTGCGGTTGCCGACTCCACTCCATGTCCAACCCTCCTTCCTTATCTCGGTTTCGGACCGGCAGCAACCTTAGAAGAATGAATATATTCCAAAGCAATTCGATGCATTTTAAAATGTAGTACTTCGAAATAGAGAACTGTTTTAAATTACTTGTATTCGATTATAGATGTCGCGAAACCATTGAGAATACATGTTGGGAACATCGAGTCAGCAATTGTGAATTTGGACGCCAGGTACAAAGTAGAGTTGGCAGGTCAATTGATAAGATGGTGGATATCCACCAATGAGGTAGCTCGGCTACGTGTTGGTTATACCAAGCCACTGAACGCCTCTTCGGTTGATGTCTCGTGTAGAAAAAGATTGAAATCTAAGAGTGGTTAAACGAAAACATGATATCAACGTATGAAGGCTCCGAACGTCAGACTGAGCACCAACCTACAAGGTTAATGGAGATTAAGAGAATGAAGTAGGCGCAATTATAGTAACTGGTTGCAATAAACCTGGGAGTAAAATGTCTCATAATCGTTTGTTCGGAATCGCGTACATGTGTAACACCTTATGTTGTTTGGTTAAGAGTTCACCTCAAACAACTAAGCATATATCAAAACAGTATAGTTCGATTGTCCATTAATTTCCTCATTTTGTATAGGCGTTATA